GATGCATTAACAAAATTAATACTCGTTAAGGTTATCTGAGAGCGCAAGAGAATATATTAAAACTCAGTTAAACAATTCACAATTTAAAAGTATTTACAATTTATCTTAGACATCTTATAAGAAATTATTCTCGCCGTATCATATGCCTTTTGTTAGAACGGGATAAAATGCGAAATCGTGTTCCATTTCGGCATATTTTTTTCAGTTTAACATTCATTTGTACTAATTCATTTTAATATTTGTTCAGTATAACATAGATGACATTTTGCAATAACTCAGTGTAAAATTCATTCCTTATTCCCACAATATATATTTAAGTGAATATATTCGGCTAAAGAGTCTGTTGTGATTTCTGAAAAGTGAACGAAATCTTTATCTGTCATTAGTTTTTTATTATTTTCATCCTTAGGTCGTGCAAATATCACATTTTTTATTTTTGAAATTCAATTTCACAGTTATAACATCGATGATGAGGGTTTGTTATTGTTTGAGTCATATCTATGATGCCACAATTTTTTACAGCAACTATTAAACTAACTCACACTAAAACAAGAATTATGACATAACGAAAAATATAACTTTTTGAATGTAACCACCTTGTAGATTACAAGAAGAATATATATATATATATATATATATATATATATATATATATATATATATATATATAGTGGAACTATTTTTGGTTTACAAAATTTGCATAAACATTTCACTAAAATTGGCCTCAACTCTTGTATTTCATTCGTGAAACAGATGAATCGCGCTTAAAATTATCACCACACTTTATACTTATAATAATATTTCCAGTCTAGCTGAGATCAAAAATTATATCTTGACTGCGAAAACTGTTCATTGCGAACAACTACAGTTCACACTCAAGGTATTTTTTGGACATAAATTAGCGATAGGTGTTTAGAATTAATATTTGTATCAATCTTTTTCAACCTGGTAGATTTGAAGACTCAGGATTGTTTATGATCCTGTATAGGTTTTTTCAGATTCGTAGATATTTCTTAGTCGAATCGTACTATTGATAAGCACATCTATATATCATTACTGACAATATTTCAGAGTTTTTAAGGGCTTTAGTATTCTTATACTTGTCCAATCTGTTATCAAAGTCCGTTTCACTATGGGGTACTGTTACATGTTAATCAGGATATTAAGAGCCTAACCTAAATAATTATCGACTTTGTGTAGTGATAACGTTTGAAATATGTCTCGAAAGAATTATTTACATTTGTATTCTTCTTAAATATAGAGTATCTTAGGTGACTTGAGTTTTTCTTACTTATTTGAGCAAATACACGTGTAGTTTGAACTAAAAGCACTAACAGAGCCTAATACAGGTTTTAATGTGTAAGACAACACTCGGTGGATTTTCTCTCTGTTGAGAACAATTTAGGTATTGCATCTTTTACATGCTAGATAATCAGCGGATTTACTAATTGTCTAGACATAATATGTAAAATGGAAAGTAATTTTTATCACAATCTAGTATAATTGGCAGAGACTTGTATAGAGAGCGAAACCATTCAACCAACAGTTATTTAAAATCAGAAAAAAATTAATGCGTGTTTTTCAGTCATAAAATATTATAGTTTTTAGTCACTCACAGTGTTTATTTACATCAATGAAACCATTTATTTGTAATTTCGTTATTCGCATTATTTTATTAAATGATTCACAGTAAACTAGACAGTTACAAGCTATTTTATACTGAAAAACGATAGCTATAAACTAAAATATGTGTTCATGAATACTAAAACTTTGATTATCAATGATAACAATCATATTAGTGTGTGTAGTTAAAATAAAGAAAATTCCAAGTCTAACTAGTTTAGCCTTATGACATAATTGAAAACTTTGCCAGTTATTATCTCATTAACAGCTGAAATTTTTAATTATTCATAAAAGTTGGAATTTTTTTAAATCGGATATTTAGTTATATCATAATTCATTGTTTTCTAGGAAAAATGTGAGCAAAATGTAGATAACTTGAAAGAGTAAAATGTTGTTTAACATTTTGTTTACCTCACGGTTAACTAGGATTCTACAGAGCAACAAACTGAACAGTGGTCAACAAAATGTTTTTAATATAAAGGCAATTCAAACAAATTATTTAGTGATACATCCAACCAAACTATATTTTAGGTATCTATCTAAGCAATTAGATTATCAGTTCATATAAATTCACTATCCGGTGAACGTATTTGAACTTGTTGTTTCTAATTTACTTTAATCTACATAGAAAAAAACACTTTTAAATAATTTAACAATTTACTAGGATATCTGTCACGAATTTATTTCACAATTGTCATGGCAAAATTGGAATTTCAGTTTTGAATGGATTCTGATTTATTTTCGTACACTATTTGGTTTTAATTCTTATTTTTACGGAAAATAGTCGTTTTTAGGTATTACTTTATCTGTCTTGTCTCTTCTTGAATGTTAACTAATGCTATTTATCATTCAAGTATTAGTCAGTTTTAAGATTTTGGAAAATAATTCACATGAATTCAGTTGGTATTATTTTTGTTCTGGTTAGTACTAATTAACTGAAAGTAACCACATAACTTAAATAATTTACGCTTTGCCCGATGGTGAGCTATTTAAAATTAAATGGTTGCTTCAGTTGATTATTACATCATCCATATGATTTTATGCCGGTAAGGATCAGGATACCAATCTGAGAAAAACTTTGGTCATTTATAAAACATCGAAAAAGAAACCTTATTTACTTGACATATCAAAGTTATAGGAGTGATATAAATGAGCACAACAATCTCTTTTCTATATATCACAAAGTTATTAGATCTATAAGAAAATACTCGTGTCTTATAAAAAATAGGGTTGGTTCAACCAGATGAAGGTGGATTAGATATTTAAACTTATTCAATTCTAAAGGATGCTTATAGAGTAAAATTTATTCGAATTTTTATTTCGAGTACGATAAACATATGGAATTAGTTAATTTTACAAGCTTTATTTCACAAATGTCTGGATGACCATTGAAAACCAGGGAGTTTTGTTAATCTTTTTTAGTATAATTTAGGACTTTTCATAAGTGCATACTAAAATTAAATCTAACATCTTCCCATATCCTGAAGCTCCTCGATTTTCAGTGAAACGAAACTTATACACTGACCATATTATTGATTGGTATTTGTCCCTTCTTAATTTTTTTTATGGATTATATGTGTAGATATAACTTCTCATAATGTACGTCTCGATGTCGTTGGTTTTTGTGACTTTAAAAACATTATACTCTCACTTTAATAGTTTGGTAAAATCACTTCTTGAAAAAATAGCTCTGACTTGCCAGATATTTTGATATTTTAATCAATTCCAAATACTTGTACATTCTATTTCACATTTTATGGTTAACATTTACAAGCTGGGTAAGTTATACATCAAAGTGGGTCATAATTAAACATGATCATCTATTTAGATATGACTTTATCCAATGAATAAAGGTCACTGATACATAATATTTTGACATGATTATTATTACTATGATAAAGTTATAAATAACCGATTCGTCCATAATGGACACTGGTCGTTTTCAAGTTACGTAAATTACTAATTTATGATGATTAATATTAGTTTGGTTAGATATAAATGCAACTCCGCCTGTAGCTTTTCTAGAGTTACTGCCGGTTCGAATCCCGGGCATAGGAGGAGGGTTGGCCATGGGGTCGGCAACTCCACCCATAGAAAAATCTTAACTAAAAAACGCTGACTAGATATCAATGCATTGTCCAAACTTTGATCTTTCATTTTTGCAATTCTAAATTCTTTCCAATCCACAGTTGCTTTGTCTAAAGCACTAAAGTTATAAGTTTTGGTAACCACCATACTGATCAAATATTACCATAAGAAAAGGCTTAAAATATATTAAAATACTGACTTAGATATTTTTACCTTATATCTTTCAAGAATAATTTTAAAGGTAGGTGAATGTAATTTACATACATACCACTAATATACTCAATACTTTGAATATATAAAATAAATGTGACAGCAACCTCAGTTCATTAAACCAATGACAACACTTAATATAACTGTTAAATATTGCATAGTGAAGGTTTTAATTTGAAACTAACAACCAAATGCATGTTTCTGTATAGTTTTAGATCTTTCATTAATGTGGATTTACAGTTTACACTCGATAAAAATCAGGACCTGCCTGTTTTACAATGAACGGGATATCTAATGACCACTGCATCATTATCACGTAGTTCTTATTTTCAAGTTTAGCAGATTTATGTTATGAAATTTGAAGTAATTTCTGAAACTTTTTTTAAATATCACACTCAAATAATTCATGCACTCATACTTTGCTCAGCATAATTGTCTTTTATTGAGATCATTAACTGATCAATGTAATACTACCATTGAAAACCAGCAATCACTGAACGGTCGTTTCGTCCTAGTATGGGACTCCCCAGAATTGCGCATCCACGACCACGAATACGGAACTCGAACCCAGGACCTTCGGTCTCGTGTGTGAACGTTTAACACCCAGACCACTGAGCCGCGTTCCGATGGTGTTAGGCGTTCGTGCGAAACCGAAGATCCTGGGTTTGATTCCCGTGTGTGGGATTGTGGATGCGCACTTTTAAGGAGTTCCATACCAAGACAAGACGACCATCCTGTGCTTCCAGGTTTTCAATGGTGGTCTAACACTTATAGGTTTATGATCTCAATTAAAAGCTCAACAATCCCCACAATCTTATACTGGTAATTATCTTTACCATTGGATAAATATTTTTTGTTTCACAATGATGTGCTATAAGATTAAAATTTTCTTGACTTTAGTTATGACTATAATCAAAATCGTTTCTGAGTTATTTCAACGCTATGTTAAAAGTTTGTATTATATCCACTTATTACCAAATGACAAATAACTTCTTAAGTCGCATGTACAAAAAAAGCACAAAAACATACATCATAAATAAAACTATGAAGAAAGAGTTCGAAATAAAATTCCCACTAACCATTATTTTACCAGCTGGATATGAAACTGTAGTAAATCGTTCACAGTATAATTTCATATTCAGTTGTTGTCTAGCTGACATACCTAAACGAGTATACTTAAACCAATTAACAAACCAATTGCATTGAACTGATTCTTCCCAGTAAGATGGAGTCGAGTTTTCCGACAGTAATATATCATTATTTGTTGGTTTTACAGTGAAAAAATCATTGATATATGTTGTATCACTTTGTGTTTCCAAACAGGATGGAGATGATTGTAAATCAGATAAAGGTGTTTTTGATGAGTTCACACTATTACTCTTGTGTAATAACGGTTTATGTGGTTGTTCTTCTTGTTGTTGCTCTTTTTGTTGGTGGTGGTGAGGCAGATGTATATGATTAATCTTAATTATTGGTAATATTGATATATCAGGTTTTCTACTATTCATTGTTTTAATGCGACGTAATTTCTTATTACGATTTATTAAATATCTACTTGGTGAACAGTTTTTATGCATTGAATCAATATTTTCCTCAGATTCAGTAAATTCATCAAATTCTTGATCATCTTTATGATCGGCAAATAAACTTGGATAATCATCTGTTACATCATCGTTTGTACTCTGTAGACTTAAAGTACGTTGATTATCAATGGACATTGGTGATAATTGTTTATATTGTATGAGTTGTCGTGATGATCTAATTTTAAGACGTTTATGTCGTGAATAAATTTTGTATAGCCAACGAAATATACCTATGAATATTGTGATCAATACAATGGAACATGATAAAGCTAATGGCAACCACCATGGAAATGGATCACGTATACATGGCATTTCAATAAGTTAGTATGTAATACGAATTGCTGAAGTAACTAGATGATAATTGAACAAATTTTTAGAATAGTCACTATTATAACATAATTCAGTGATCAGATAGTGTTTAGTTCCTTTCTCTACTCTCATACTTTATTATTATTATTCTCTGTTAAAATGTATGATTTTCTAAATTAATGAAATAGTACATTTAATTTAATATATTATAATTTGATTACTTTAAGATGATTGGCTAATAAAAATGTAACAGTTTACTTGACTGCTATGCTATCTATCTCCACCCTATTTATCGAACACGAGTGAAACTTAAGTAGGTTAGATTTTTGTAAAAAATTTTAAATGAATAGCTAATAATGGTTGATACAAACATACTTATATTTTGTTTGGTTAGGTGGACCGTAGTTCAATTTAAGGATAGTTTCTATCAGAAACCGATGTTAATGCGAGAAACAGCAGAATCAGATGCAGTCTGCCCTCCTCAACAGTGGACACCCAAAATCCTAGATAGGACTGTACTAAACATCTCCAGTTAAACAATCAAACATTTACCATATGAAGTATCTTCTTGAATATCAACCTCAAAGGTTGGAATTTCAAACCTTGAATCAAAATGCGGAGATCATTTACATCTAAACTCACCCATTTGATCTAAACCATAAGGGCAGAGTAATCCTATACAAATTTTTCAGTATTACTATTGAATTAATATCACTTAAATGAACAAAACTTTCTAATGTAAATCTAAAGTTAAATAAATGAAATTCAAGAAAATCAAGTTTAGGAATACACAAAAACTAAATTATTTGATCGTTTTATTATATATCAAAGATAACTGATTGACAGACGCATATTTGATATCTCAAACCTGTGAAACTTTCATTTGAATATGAAACCGATTAACATCAACAAAATGGCCATCGGGTTTCACTTTGTTTTCTGATACGGTATCATAAGCTAATAGCTATTCAGTTAGTTTTTTTCGGCGAAATTTGTACTTCTTCAATGACAGTGCTTCACTGAGTGATATGCAGTTTGTAGATTGGGCACCGGGGGAATTCGCCATTCTATCGAGTACCTACTGTGGCACAGATCGCTTACACTAGCTAGTCGTGATTAAAATGAATTAGTACATACAAACAGAATCGACATCCAAGAATGAATCTCGTGATGATTTTTACCATAGTTACAAACCCCCGACTGCAGCTGCTACCTTGACGCGGTGGTCGGGCTTGCCTATCGTGATGACCCAACCGAGCTATATTGGTTAGAACATATGTTCCTGCAGGTTCTACCATGCCAGGCAGGTCGATTGGAGAACGGTAAGACTAAAAGCAGCAACTCAAGGTCTGAGGGCGAAGTCGTACTGCTGACTGTAGAGAGGTGTGACAGCAGTAGGGTGTTTCCCTCGGACAACCAGTATCTGCAGCGATGCTGCCTTCCCACAAGGAAGGAAGGGGTTAGAAAAGGTCGACCCTAAAAATGTCACACCTCACCTTACCTCACGGATTTCCGTCTCCGGTGGTAAGGCCCTTTGAAGAACGGGGCTAACACATCAAAAACCTCCCACAAAAAGGCCGTGCGCGACCGGCCTCAAGCAGTTGTCCCGTGGGCTCTGCGGTCACGCTTCCGGGTCGTTAAGGCCGACATTAATCCGACTTCCTTTTCAAATTCCTCAAGAAATACTTTTCCACGGTGTGGGCAGCCGGGAAGTGACACCAGCCCTCATACCCGTAACAACACACAAGACCAAGTTGATCACATTCAAATCCTTCCTACACCTAATACCTCTCTTATCTCCCCGATTAACCCTTCTCACATCCTTTTATCACTTCACACCGCTAGGGCAAACGATTCGAATACGCGGAACGCTAATCCTGGTCTCCTGAAACCACGCTCTAAACTACACGTAGGAGCTTTTAACGTCCGGACACTGTGCCAAATAGGACAACAGGCTTCCTTAGCTAGGACTTTAGAATCTCGCGCCATCGATGTGTGCTGCATCTCCGAAACGTGTATTCAGGACCCGAGTAGCGTCATTCATTTGACCTCACCATTTCAAAATAAAGAACCAACTCGATTCACACTTCGTGTATCTGGAAGCCCTGATGCTGCTTCTCGTGGACTCGCCGGCGTAAGTCCTAGGGCAAAACTAGCTCTCTTAGACTGGATCCCAGTAGACAGTCGTTTGTGCGCTGTCCGACCAAACGGAACAATAAGGACTCAGAAAGATAGGGACACTCGTCGTTGCCTCTTCGTCGTCTCTGCCTATTCTCTGACTGACTGCAGCTCAGATGATGTAAAAGATGAGTTTTACAGAAAGCTCTCCGACCTTCTCCGAAAAGCTAGGCGCTCCGATGTAGTAATAGTGGCTGGTGACTTTAATGCTCAAGTAGGTAAACTGAGCGAAAGGGAAAGACACCTAGGTGGATCTTATGTTGTCGTGGCTCAAAGAACAGATAATGGCGACCGTCTGTTGCAGCTATGCTCAGATAACCGCCTGTTTCTTGCAAACACTAACTTGGAGCATAAGGAAAAACAGCTTTTAACATGGAGACCCCCTAATTTGTCCCAACATTGGACCCAAATAGATCACATCGCTATCAGCCACCGATGGAGGGTCTCGATAGAAGACTGTCGCTCATTCTGGAGAACATGCTTAGATTCAGATCATGCTCTAGTGCGAGCGCGTATTTGCCTGCGTCTTACTGGACGTAAGAAAGACACTGCAGGGGAACGTCTTAGGGTCCTGTTTAATGATGGTCAAACTAAGAGTATATTTCAGGAACAACTAGGAAAACAGTTAGGCAGCCATTTATGTGATGCCCACCCCGATGCAGCATGGAATGATATCCGAAAAGCTGTGGAAACAGCAGTGATATCTGCTAGTACGGTAAACCGTAAGGTCAGGGAACAACACTGGATATCAGCAGCATCTATCACACTGATAGATGCTCGAAAACTCATTCCACCTGACTCTGAACATAATGAAGAGCGGAGTCAGCTTAAGCGCAAGCTGACAAGAAGCCTACGCAGTGGTCGTGAACAGTGGTGGGTAGCGAAAGCAAGAGAGATGGAAAAGGCAGCGGCAATAGGTAATAGCACACAATTGTTCAGACTCGTTAAGGAAACCGGTATAAGGAACCCGACTGTCAGAGAAACACTCAGAGAAAGATGGACATATTATGCATTCTCAATCCAGGAGATTGGATCGATGGGCAGAACACTTTAGAGATCAGTTCAACTGGCCTTCAGCCACACTTCGGTTTCCCACGATCTCTAGTCAACCTGAATGGCAAGTTAATGTAAGTCCTCGGACTCTTTATGAAGTTGAAAATGCTATAGGAAATCTGAAGCAAGGGAGAGCGGCAGGCCCTGACAGGTTTACTCCTGAGATTTTTAAGGATGGTGGTCCAGCATTAGCAGTGAGATTAACTGAGGTCTTAGGTAGAATTTGGGAACTGGACGCAATCCCATCTGACTGGTCTCAATCACTGATTTTGCCAGTCTATAAGAAAGGACAATCACAGAGGAATCAGTTTGACTAATATAGTGTCTAAAATATTAGCTCCAATAATACTTCGACGCCTAACTAAAGCTCGTGAAGAACAGACAAGAGAAAACCAGGCCGGTTTTCGACCTGGACGTGGTTGTATAGACGAGATATTCACACTACGTCAGGTTCTAGAACACAGATACACGTTCAGACGCCCTACAATAGTAGTATTTCTCGACGTTAACGCTGCATTCGACTCTGATGATCGTAAGGTTCTATGGCAGTGTTTGTCACTGAAAAGAGTACCAAAGAAGCACATTAACCCTGTAAAGGCTCTCTACTCGAACATAACTGGTCGAGTGAGAGCTTATGGCGAACTGTCATCAGAATTGATTACCTCAAGTGGTGTTCGTCAGAGCTGCCCACTCTCTCCATTCTTGTTTAAGTTTGTCATTGACGTACTTTTAGAGATAACACTTTCCTCGTCTAGATTTCCAGGGGTTGAACTTCTACCAGGAGATTCACTTGTTGACTTGGAATATGCCGATGACATAGTTCTATTTGGTGAAGACGCTGACAAAATGCAGAGTCTTCTGACCAGTCTAAGCAACAATGGAAGCATGTTCGGGATACGATTCTCCCCCTCGAAATGCAAAATGTTGCTTCAGGATTGGGTTACATTGACACCCGAACTAGTGATAGGGAGTGAAGTAGTTGAGGGTGTCGACCGCTTCACTTATCTTGGAAGTCTCATCAGCCCTTGTGGTCTGGTGTGTGACGAAGTCTCAACACGGATACAGAAGGCTCGACTAGCTTTTGCCAACTTGCGTCATTTATGGCGTAGGCGAGATATCCGTCTATCAACCAAGGGACGTGTTTACTGTGCAGCAGTTCGTTCCGTCCTACTTTATGGCAGTGAAACATGGCCGGTAAGAGTAGAAGATATTCGTAGGTTACTATTATTTGATCATAGGTGTCTTTGAAACATTGCTCGTATATCCTGGGACCATCGAGTAAGTAACGCAGTTGTTAGGAAACGGGTACTAGGTAAGGATGGCAAATCCATTGATGAAGTGGTGAAACTTCATCAGTTGAGATGGCTGGGATACGTGTTACGTATGCCCAACGACCGACTGCCTCGACGTGCGATGTTCAATGGTATAAGAGTAGGTTGGAAGAAAGCTAGGGACGGTCAGACCAAAACATGGCACAAGTCCATGAAGTCACTGACAAGTGAACTGAGTCATGTTGGTAGGTGTAGACTACCTGGTTGGGGACCGCGAGATGATAGCAACCGATGGTTAGAGACCCTGAATGACATGGCTCAAAATCGTTTGCAATGGCGTAGGTGCATCCACTCTTTGTGTTCTTCCAAATTCTAATCTCCTGATTCCTCCTTATCTCTTTTTTTCTCTTCCCAAATAGATTTCACTGGATTATACTCTTTAAATAACATCTCCAAACCCTGATGTTTCCGACTACTGGTTATACTCTTATTACCTCTACCACTACGAGATTTGAATCGACAACTGCATCTCTGTGCTAATGTGGTATGGCAACTCGAACTGATGTACGTACGTACGAAGTTCTACGTTGTTACTGACTGACTAAAAGTTACAAATCCATCTATTTTGATACTGTTCTACGTCAATGATGTTTTCTAAA